TATTATTAACAGAATTGACATTTAGAGTAGCCTTGTTAATGTTCTAAAAGTAGATAGATAGTTAACAACAGGGGCCTTCTGCATTTTACTGACAGGTGACATACTCTGAAATGTGTAATTGCCTGAGAACTAGTACAAAAAGGGTAGGTAACTATACTGCTCAGATGGTATACCAGTTAGGTATATACAGGAGATAAGTTGGGAATTTCAATATAACAGGACAGATGATCAGAGAGTTTAAATGGATAATCTTCTAGTAGGTTATAGGTATGGTATCTAGTGTAGAACCTTGGATTAGACTATTTAAATAGGCAATTAAAGGTTGCATGTATGACTAGTTGTACTCTCATCTCTGTAAAAATAGTTGTAATAGTTAACCTAATGTAAGTTAACAAAGTATTATCACAAGTATGGCCTTTAACAAAAAAAAAAATAAAGAAGATTTTTTTAACAACATCTTATTATCAATTAAATAACTCTTTATTTGATGACTTTTATTATGACAAACTTTTTGTTTTAATACAGAAAATCACCATTTCTGCTTAAGATCTACCAAGCTAATTTTAATGATTAAATCATTATTAGAATCAAAAATACCTTATTCATAATTTTATTTAGTACTAAAAAATATTTTTACTTAGTAGAAATTTTTTTAATCTTTAAAAAATTATTTTATCAATAATATTATTAATTGAAATAAGTTATTTATTTGATCTAATGAATATATAGTAAATAAAGAAAAATTAAAAAACTTTAGCTTAAGATCTTTGTCTAATTACTTTGAATTTAAATTTGTAATTTTGTATAAGAATTCAAAAAATATTAAAGAATATAAATTTTATTTTAAAGTTAATTTTTATATATACTTTTTTAAGTAAATCAAAAAAAGTGTTTTTTTACTAAAATTTATATATAAATTAAATTAAATAATTTCATTTAACTTATATTTAATTTAAATTTAGAAAACTTATTTTATGTTTATTATTTTGTAAAATTTAATAATTTATTATCTATATAGTTTTAAATTAAGCTATTAATTGGTTAGTTAGTTTGATTTGTTTTGGTTTAAAAACTAATAATTTTTTATAAAATCAATATTTTTAATTAGTTTTCTAAATATAATTTAAATTAAATATATATTTTTCAATACTTTATATATTAATTTATTTAATTTGTAAGATTATTTATACATTATAGTATAACTTAAAATTGTTACTATATAAAATCTTCTTTTTATAATTTTAAACCAATAATAATGAAGATTAATATAATATTGAAAATAAAATAAATCTTTAAGATTCTTTTTAAAAAATTAATAATAATTTAATATTTATCTATAAAACTATTGTTCATTAAAAAAACAATTTTTTTACAAATTTTATTATATTAATATTTTTTATAATACTATTTTTAATATATATTCTTAGTTTATTATTAGAATTAATAGATTTTATTTTTAAATAAACTAAAAAATCATTAATCTAAATTAAATTAATTAACAACTCTAGTTTTAAAATACTATATTTTTTATTATATCATATATATATTATTAAGGTTTCATAATTTAATTTAATTTAATTTAAATATTTAATTTGAATTGAATTTAAATCTAAAATCTTCAAATTATATCAAATTAAAATATAATTAAATTTGATTTGATTTGACAAATATTTGATTAAATTTAATATTATAAGTTATTTATTTAAAATTTTATTAAAACAATTAATTTTTTGTTTTATTAAACTAGAAGTATTTTGTTTAAAAAAACATTTTTATTTAAAACTTAAGATTGATTAATATATTAAATATTTTTATAAATTAAGTTTTTTATTTATTAATCAAATATTTTAAATTTAAAAAATTTTTTAAATTAAATTAAATTAAATATTTAAATCAAATATTTAAATCAAATCAAATTCAAATTTGAATATATTAATTAGAAGTATCACCTTTTTGAACTATTTAAACTGAATATTTGTAAAACTTGAATTAAATAAAAATATGTTATAAAATAAGTATTAGAGTTTAGATAAACTCTACAAAACCATAACAGTTTAATGCTTAACTATAATTACAAATATTAGATTCAATTATAATATTATTAGTTTAATTATAAGAATAGATACAAAAGATTTTAGAAGGTTTAGTATATAGCCAAAAGTTTTTTGTATAAAAAAACTATTTTAAAGATTTAGTAATTATGATATATACATTGTTATAAATTAGAGCAGTTAGTAGATATTAAGTAAGTAAATACAAGAACAAAAATATTTAAGTAGAAGATTATAAATAGATTTTAGATATTGCACTAATATAAAACCTTTAGGTATTATTAATAAAATTTTAGATTGAAAGTACTCAACTTAATATTAAAAAAAACTTTATATACTATATAATATAACTAATAAATTATCAACAATTTACTAGATAAGCAATTAATAATATTTGTAATATATACATAATTACTATATAATTATCTTAAAACTATATAAACAATATTATTTTTCTATTCTTATACATTAACTAGAAAGCAACCTAATTATATCTGAATAATAATACTAATAAAACTAGCTCACATATAAACTTTGCATTTAACAATAGCAAATCTTTTAAAATTAAATTACAATTTAATATCTTATCAACTCTTTTCTATCTATATGACTTTATTCAGAGTATTAATCAACAAAAGTTGTATTACATGCTATATATCAGAATGTTTATTGTATTGAATACTTTGTCTAAATTCTATATTTCTTATCAACCTTATTTAAGAAATGATTACAGAAATAATTACACATATAATCAATATTACTACCATTCAAATTAATGACTTACACAACAGCATCTCTCTCAATAACATAACCTTACAACAAACCAATTTATTAAACCAATATATTTACAATGCTACAAGGATATGTGCTTATTAGTCTTATTTTATTAATTAGATCATTTACGCAATCATAAACAGAGGCAAGAAATATTACTACTAAACTCTTATACAAATAACTGGTAATGATATCACCATCTTTATTTTTAGGGTTAGAGTGCAGGTTTAAGGTAAGACAAAGGTAAGATATAAATTTTTTACTTAATATATCTGACCCTTGTTTCTTAGTCCCATTTTTGAGATATTGCAGCCCGGTGATGGTCACCACTGGTTATAGTTAGTAAAATTCTTTTTAATAAAAACTAATATTTATCATAAATTAGGTTCTATTTTTTATCCAAACTTAATTATGTATTCTGGTATCAAAATTTATTCAAAGTCAAACCTATTATAGGGATCCGGTTCATTTCAATTCACCGACAATACGATCATCGACAATCAATTCATCAAAAAGTTCATTTCATCGACAAGTTTTTTTTATAAATCACACTAACCTTAACTCTAATTCTGAACTGACCCTACGGCAATGACCAGAATTACTTTGTCGGTAAATCGTATTATCAGTGAAATGAACTTTTTGATGAATTAATTGTTGGTGAATCGTACTGTCGGTGAATTGATTGTCGATAAAATGAACGGAACTGATATATATTATACTTCAATTTTAACCAAGGCGTGGATATTTCCACAACACATTTTTTATTTGAAATCTGTATATCCGTAGAATTCAAAAACAAAGGTCAGAATTTCATTGGGCAGTTGTAATGTCTTCGATTAGAGTCAGGGAAATTTTGCTAATTATCAAATTTCTTTTCTTATGCTTTGAATAAAGATATTTCAGCAATAGCATAATCAATTTGGATGTTTGACATCCCTTTTAAATTTTATATGTTTGTAAATTCAAAAGAATCTTTAAATATGCAATTGATTATCATTGTTGAGATATACATTTTGTATTCTGTGAACACATGAACGTCTGTAATTATATGGTATGTGATACAGGAGGCTTACTATTCTGTAAAACGCATAAATGATAACATTCATGACATTCTTTATACACAAGAAATTTTAAGATGCTCACATAATTTTGAAATTTTTCTGGGCACTATAAATGATAATGCTATATTAAGATTCTTTTGTACATTAGATTAATTACTAAAAATTTAATACAAACAGAAACATTTTAGTAGGAGATTCGGGAGCAAATGGGTTTATCAACTGTAATTATTTTGGGTTATAGATCATAGATTATACTAATGACTTTGGCTTATCAATAATAAATACGTACTGCTTTACTTTATTTACGTATATTTATCATTCACAAATAAATATGGAAAAATTCTTTTGTAAGTTTATTAATTTATAAATTTTACAAAGTTTTTTTTTTATTTTCTAATATTAATTTTAACGTTAAAATTGTTAAATGATGAATCCTCTAAAATAATGTAATTTGATCGGATAATTATCTGGGTAATCATAGAATAATTTTGGCAGTGAAACCGATACCCGAGTCAGTCCAGATAGCCTGATTAACCGAATATTTTTTAATTAATATTAATATTAACACCGAAAATTTGTTATTAACCGGATATTATTGAAAAACTGGTTTTAATAAAGATAATAACTTGTTGATAATTTTTTCTGTTTGGATTATCGGTTATACGGTTATCTGGATGATAGATTGGAACTCTAAGAATGTTTGAATCTTAACAATAAACAATACAGTTTAATGTTCTTTTGACAAACATAGAAAAAATAATGAGAATACATTTAGAAATGGTTTAATTAAGAAGTATTTACGGTACTTGTCATTAAGAGCAATGTTCACTTTCAGACGACGGGTCATTACCCCACCAAGTTGGAAATGGTACCTGGAGAATAAAATTTGTCAAGTTATAAACATGAAAAAAATTTACATTTATCTAGTAAAGATATCAAAATAACCTACTTGAATAATACCAGTAAGACAAATGAAAGCAACTAATGTCATTATTTGTGCACCACTATCAAATGCAGCAGACATAACAAAATTATATCTATCATGCAATATTAACAAATGAGATAGTCCAATTATTAATAAATAAATAAATAAATAAATAAATAAATAAAAAGCCTACTTAGTCCACCATCTACAAAATAACCAAATAATACGATAATAAATTTTAATTTTAATTCATATACTTATAGTAATTAGATAAATTCTATACTCACCTTTTCCGATAACGATATGCGTAAAATTGACTCAAAAAGCCTGCAATGAACCCAGTGATAATGAAATTTGAATAGGTTCCAGGAAGAACAGCCAAACCATGTGATATCACGGGTATATTCACAAGATTAAATTTTGCCTTTGGAAATTTTAGATGAAGCAAATAAAATGGTATTGGTAAAAAGCCACC